TTTTTTTTTTTTTTTTTTTTTTTTTGGGCGAGAGGAGGGAAATCTTCATAGACACCGGCTAGATGTTGTTGATGTTGGTTGCCGGTAGTGTGAGATTCTTACTCACTAAAACCCTCCCCTTTCTTGTACCTGATACTGCGGGACCGCGTTAGCATTACTTCGCAGTACCAGGCCCCCTCCACGCTGCTCCTGCAGCTTATTCCTCCGTTTCTTCTTATTTCTCCGCTTCTTCTTATTCGTCTTCTTCCTCCTCTTTCCTCTTCTCCATCAGGACCTCTCTTACATATCCCGTCATTGCTGCCCAGTTGTCAATCGACTTCAGCATCCAAGGGACGACGTCTTCAGGCCTTTGGGGCACTTCCTTCTCTTCCCGCCAACGCAGCCGTATTTCAGACCAACGTTGGCAGTCAAAAAAGGTGTGCTCGGCAGAGTCAGCAACTCCCGGACAGTACACACAGTAGGGATCGTTTCGGATCCCCATACGATGTAGGTAGGCACTGAACTGTCCATGCCCAGCAAGGAACTGCGTAAGATAGTAGTCTACTTCCCCGCAGTCCCTCAGTACCCAGTCACGGATCTGCCCAATGAGCCTATACGTCCAGCGCGCTGTTTCCCCAGTTTCCCAGCGCTCTTGCCAGAGCGCAAAGGTCTCCTCACGTTCACGGGTTCTCACGTCTTTCAGAGGTCCTTCGCCAGCCCGTCGGGCATCCCAGATCCGCTTCCTTTCGAGACCCAGTAGGTCGATTGGAATTACACCCGAGATGACCAACACAGCTGCCTCCGAGACTGTTCGATAGGCGCAGGCTATCCTCAGCGCACCTCTTCGTTGTACCGATGCCAGTTGCTTCCGATATTTCTCTACTTTGAGTGCTTCTCCCCATATCTCTACGCCGTAGAGCATGATCGAGTTTAACATCGGGATGAGCTTATATCTTCAAAAACGTCAGTAGTTAAAAAAGTACAGTGGAATCTCACAAAAGTCATTATTTAATAAAGCAAAATTTTATTTATTTATCGTTTACAACTCACGGCAGTCACATAGTAACTGCAAGGTTGCTAGTTTTATTTATTTTACTATTAAAATCTTCAAAACTAATTTACATAATTATATATTATCATTACAAAAGTTCTTTTATTTGATCACAGATCATAGAAAATGAGTATAATATCATAAAAAAACATAAAACTATCAAAAACTTTAGTAAACACGCTGACCGATATAATTTCCAGTAGGTCCATAGTTGCAAACCAAATAAGTAGTGTACCAGTACCAATCTTTGTACCTAATGGCTCCACAACCAACCGTCCTAGTATTTCCCCAAACAAGCTGAGTATAATGACCAATTTTTGGCGAAGATTGCCATCGAAAACGGCGAACGTAGTTCCTATTGAAATCCTTCACTTCGTTGTACCAATGTTCCACCAAGTCGGACAATCTAACATGATAATTGTTGCTATACATCATTTTGGCGATGTTTTGTCCGACTCGAAAGCGATCTGCAATTTGAAGAATAATTATTCAAAAATTCAAAAACATAATTTAGCTTAGATACTCACCAACATTACGACATGTGTCATGACCAAATTGGCACTGATTAGCCCACCTCTGTGCAATTTGTGCCAGTTCATTGTCCCACGTCAGGGGCGGGATTCTTCCAGCGGGTTGAGGGCCAGCAATTCCACGCCTTTCGGCACCTCTTGCCACGAACGCCCGCTTGTCATTATGTGTTCGAAGAATGTCGTTTATTTCGCCCGAGGTCAAAGAACTCGATTGTACCGTACCGCAGGTCGCTGCAGGCCATGCTGACTAACGTTTAGATTATTGTATATGTCAATTGTAATAAAATCTTAAGTGTTAATTTACATCCTAAGTTTGAATCAAAAAGTGTCAATATTACCAATTCTTCAAGATGAATTGTTCACATTTTTGTCTCTGTTGAAAGATCTAATTAGATTCAATTACCAAATCTAATCAAAGATACTGATAAACTGTTATTGCCTTGTCAATCAATTTTGATTGAACACATGGAATTTATTTTGAATAATTTAAATAACTTTTAGAATATTCAACTTAAATTTAAATAAAAGTATTTCGGAAAAATAATTTTTTAAAAAATCTAGGGTAAAAGACCCCATTACTGCACAGAAAGAAAGGTTCACTTGAGCCAAGAAAATATTTTTCTTCATAATTATTTACTTGGGCGAAAAAAAAATTTTTTTTTGACACAAGAAATTTCACTTATTCCAACAAATCAATTCTCTTGCTTCAAGAAATACGTTTCTTGATCCAAGACAATTTATTTAAGTCAAGAAAATTTTTCTTGTTTTGAGAAAATTTCTCTTTTGCTCCAAAAAATTAAGTTCTTGACAGAAGTAAATTTTCTTGTCTTGAGAAAATTTTTCTCTTGCTCCAAAAAAGTAAATATCTTGATAGTAAATTTTCATTAATATTTCTATTGACTAACATGTCAAATGGGAAGATCAAATAATATTGAATCATTTTTTTTCATTCAATATGTGTAATTGCGCGCTAAAATGATCTAAAATGGGTATCAAATATTCAAGAGAAAAATTTTCTCAAAATGAGATGAAGATCAAATAATATTGAATCATTTTTTTTCATTCAATATGTGTAATTGCGCGCTAAAATGATCTAAAATGGGTATCAAATATTCAAGAGAAAAATTTTCTCAAGATGAGATAATTTTTTTCTCAGCTGAAGTAGATGACGCTGCTTCCTTAAAGTATCTAAAAATCTTGATCAAATATAAAAATTTATTATATCAAGCATTTATGATAATTTGAATTAAGAAAAAATTACTTCCACCAAGAATAGAATTTCAAGAAAAATTTTTACTTCGGCCAACATAACTTCGGTCTTCCTTCGGGCGACCGAAAATTTACTTGAGCCAAGAATTTTGTTCTCCAGTCAAGAAATCTTTCTTTCTGTGTGACACTTTCTTTGATTTTGGTACTTATTCAATTAGGGGCATTCCATAGCGACTGGTGGGACATTTGACTCTGGAATTTCATCAATTATAAACTATAATTATGTAACTGAAACTTATACTATAGTAAAATTTATCTTATAATATAGAAGAATAACTAATTAACAACATCCCTTTGTCAAAAACTTCCATTACTTTTTAAGTTTCTCGTAATTATCATTTGACTGAGTGTGACTGGTGGGACTAAGAAAAATCCTTCTCTCTTACCAAAGGTATACTTAAAGTCCAATTTCAGTTCGACCACTAAACTAAAAAAAAATACTTCCCTCTCAATACAAAATTTATCCTACAAACATTCAATATTATGAAGAATTAGACTGATTTCCTACGTAGAAACAATTAAAAAAATTTTTTTTATTGTGACTGGTGGGACAGGCATTTGTGACTGGAGGGACAAGTACAAAATGTCTACATCAAGTTGTTTATTAAAAAGACTTTTATATTATTTCAACCTTAAAAACATTATTGTTTATATATTTAACTATAAATTATTTAAGATAATTAAAAAAAACTAATTAAAAAACAAAAATAAAGGATTTAGCACGCTGACAACACGATCTTGATAAACTTAGGTGTTAATTAATAACGGACATAAAAAAATTTGTTCTTAAAACTATAATAATAAATATGATAGTTAATAACAAACATAAAATGAATTTTTTGTTAAAACTATTAAAACAACATTTGACCTGGATACAAGTTAGTTCGGCTGAAAAGTTACTAGAAGAGAAAAATCGATTTTCTTATTGATTAAAAAAATTTTTCTTACTACGCTAGTCGAAAGTACGGGTTCCCGCTGCGATTTCACTGCAGAAAGCCTCACATTTATGCCGTGGTCGAGTCGCGCATGCGCTCTACGACGGGGAGCCGAAAAAATGTATTCATGCACTGACAACGAGTCACGAGGCGGCAGAAAGTCCGAAAGTCGGTAGTCGCGCTCACTCTATTATTTATGTATACAAGCCTAACCTTACTTGTGATTGTTATGAATGTATCTGTTTTGTTATGTGTCAATGATATTAAGTTGAAACTAAGTTAATTACAGAAAATGAATATTTATTTTAATGAAATGAGACTTGTTAAATATTTAAATTATAAATAAAAAAAAAAAATATATTTTATTCTGATAGATTTTCTCAAATAAATAAATAAATTCATCATTGAACAAGTAATTATTTTAAAAAATACACAAACAGATTTTTAAAAAAATTTTTTTTTCTATGAATTTCACGATTATGAATTCATTTTTGTGTTTTTTTTTTTTATTTTTAATATCAGAATTAATTTATAATATATTTAAAACTTTAAAATTATTGAATTAAATTAAAATCTTTTCTTAAAAGAAAGTAGTAATATGATAGATTATATATTAATATCTTTATTGACAGATGTATTTGATGCCTGCCCACCCCCCCCCCCCCGACCAGCACGCACTCGCATATCTTTATTGACAGGTGTATTTGCCCCCCCCCCCCCCGACCAGCAGCACTCGCTTCGCTTGTGCCGCAAATGTCGGGGGCAGGCATCAATTTTTTTCAACGCAATTTTTAACGTACTTTCGACCGCATAGCAAGAAAAATACTATACACTACATGGACAGAAATTTGAGAGCCATGAACTGCGTGCCATGATGCCCTCGGCTTCGCCTCGGGCATACATGGCGCGCAGTGCAGGAATCTCAACTTTCTGCCCTTGTAGTGTAATATACTATTTCTTTACAAATTAGTAAAATATAGACTTTTAATAATAAATTAGGACTAAATTAGAATGAATTAGAGAAATTTTAGTCATTTTCCTATTTCGCATGGAATGTCCCATTAATAAAATCATTAATTTCAATAATGAATATATTATTTCTAATTTTTAAGACCTTTAGATCAAAAAAATTGTTAATTTTTATTCTAAGTAGAACATTTTTTCATTGAAAGAAAAAGTAACATTAATAGGGGTTAAAAGTGCCACTAATGGGGTCTTGTACCTTATTTTCTTTTTTATTAAAATAAAGAAAAAAAAATACAATTTCCGAGATACTAAACATATATGTTTGAGTTTTTAAGACTTGTATATGTAATTATAAGAATTTTTTCTTATTATTGTTATTAAAAACTAATCAAACATTAGGAAACAGATGATAATTTCTTTTTAAAGTTTGAGTCGTCGTTACAACATAAGATCATAAGATATGATATGATTAATAAATTAAGTAAATATTCGATAATGATTATGAAGAAAAGTTAATTACTAATGATAGTCAGTGAGTAAGTAATCTATGACGCTATAGTATGTGTGTATGTAATTGAACCATAACTTGAGTGAATTTAACTTGATTCAAGAAATTTCTTGCAAGATTTAAGATAATCAAACTTTAGAAAATTAAGTTCTTGGTTCAAAAGTTTTTATTTTGAAACAAGTTAATTTTTTATAAGTATTCAATGTCAGTCGTAGCAAATAATAATTATTATAAAAAAAATTTTTTTGATTAAAGAGAAATATTTTTAACTTGAGAATAAAATTATTTTTGTAAAAAATCAACGTTTTTGATTCAAGTCGTTAAAATCTTCAACCAAGGTTACAGAGTGTCTTAATCCTTGAAAAGAAATAATCCGTTGAAATAAAGATTATCTTGTTTAAAAAAAAGTAAAGTAATTGGCTAAATTGATAAAATAGAGTTTTATTTTCCAGTTGTTAAAAACTTATATGAAAATTTTTGTCAAAAACTTTATTCCCCAAATCAACTAACAAGCGGTACTAAAATCACAATTTTCCCTATCAAAAACAGAATAAATAAACAATAAACTTACTCGATATCTACACATAGTATGCTGAGCACCATTGCATGTCGGTGGATTGCATCGCCAAGATAAAGCGGACCCGACAACCGCAAGAACCAACACCAAACTTATCATAGCAACGTTATTGTGAAAATGAATCAAACTTGTTAGATTGATTTATTTATACTGACTGAAAGCAGGAAAATTTTTCTGCCCTTCCTCAGTTATCTCTGATAGCAGACCACACAACTGTGATTGTGATTGACATTAACTAGCTGCGATAATGATCATTAGCCAGCAGTGATTTCCTTTTGATGATAGCCGTAGCATATTAAAACGCAGTTTCTTCATTAAATAAAATTCCAGAGACAAAAATAATGTTAAATGGAGAAACAACTCGAATTCAATGTTTTATTATCTCATTCTTTTTATTATCATTAACAAAAATGAAATAATTTTATTCTTAACAAAGGATTAACATTATCGATCAATGGATATGGTTTGATGAAAATTGCCGATGAGTAAGTCAAATTCTGATTAAACAGTCTGGTAGAGTTTGCTGCCGATCCAGTTTCCAGCGGGTCCGTAGTTGCAGACCAATCTGGTGGTAAACCAGTTGTCCCTGCTCAGGTACCTGATGAGACCACAACCGACGGTGGTGGTGTCGCCCCAAACAAGTTGAGTGTAGTGTCCAATTTGTGGGGTAGATTGCCATTTGAAGGCGCTTACTTGGCGACTGTCGAAGTCCTTCACTTCGTCGTACCATAATTGCACCAATTCTGACATTGTAGCAACGTGTTTTGCGCTGTGCATTTTTGTCGCGATATTCTGTCCAACTTGGAAGCGATCTGCAGCAATTAATCTCAACTATTTAGTCATTTATTCAAATTATAAGACTTTTATTGATTATTCGGATACTTACCGACATCACGGCACTTGTCATGTCCCATTTGACACTGGTTAGCCCAAATCTGAGCAGTCTTAGCCAATTCATCGTCCCATTTTAAGGGTGGAATTATTCCAGCTGGTTGTGGTCCAGGGTGACCCAGAGATTCTTTTCCGCTAGCTACCTTGGCGCGGAATTTGTTGTGGGCATCCACGATTTCTTTTTTTTCATAATCTTTCACTCCGGTTGTCTGAACTTTGTTACACGTTGATGCTGGTGCTGGGGACTGGAATTATCATTTTAATCAGTATATATTTTAAATAAAAATTCTGGCCAAACGGTAGAAAATAACGAAAAATTCTTCAAAACTTTTTTGTAAAGATTTACATTTATACAATTAGGTGTCTTATGATTTTTCAGTATCTTCAATATTTTGGCTACACTGATCAAATGTTCTATTATTACTAATTATTAATTTCTAAAGAGAAGAACATCAATATTTATCTTTGGATAATAGATAAACAAAAGAATAGCTTTCTTTAAATTAAATAAAAATTATTTCAATCAATTTAACAATTTCTTGAGCTAAGAATATATATTCTTGAAAATTTTTAAGAATTTGAATTCTTGTAAGGTAAAAGACCCCATTAGTGGCACTTTTTCTCTCAATGAAAAAATGTTCCATTTGGAATAAAAATTGAAAATTTTTTTGACCAAAAGGTCTTAAAGATTAGAAATAATATATTCATTATTAAAATTAATGATTTTATTAATTGAATAAGTACCAAAATCAAAGAAAGTGTCAGTAATTGGTTCCCCGTCACTAATGGGGTCTTTTACCCTATCAAGAAAATTTTCTTAATAAAAGTATTTTTTTTTTCACAGTGTAGAAATTCAAATTTGAATTTTTGAAATAAAATTTCTCGTTTGCGCCAGAAATTACAAATTTAAAATGAAAATTTTGGCTAAATAGTAAGAGATAGAGCAAAATTAACAAGACCTTTTTTGTAGAGAATTAATTTTCCTACCATAAAGGTCTTGACTATTTTATCGTATCTCCAATATATAGTCCAAAATTTTGAATTGAAAATTTTTTCTGGTTCAATTCCAAATTTTTGCTAATCAAAAATCTCAAAGATCAAGAACAAAATTTTTAATACTTACACGATAGACACAAGCAGTATGTTGCTTCCCATTGCAAGTTTCTGGATGACATCGATCAGCAGCAACAACAGCAATAATAGCTGCCAAAATGGTGTAAAAAACTTTAGCCATTTTAAATGCAATTAAGTTAAAATTGATATACTTCTAGTATCTGAAGCCAAAACTCGGACTGTAATTTCCCAGAGCAGCGATCTGGCTATTTATACGCATAAAACGTCTTTCTGAAAGCAATAAATTTATTTATTGTAATATTTGTTCAATGACTTACAAGGCAAAATGTCTTACAATAGTAACACATGTTATTTTTTTTCAATAACTGATAACACTTGACGTCCAAAGACTCTCTTCAATATTACGTAACCAACTATCATTCATTATTCGACACATCGAATTGGTTTGAATTCACTTCAAACCGCAAATATACATATATATACATAACGAATTAATTTTCGTCGGTACATTACTTACATTAAGATAGACAAATTAAATTGACATTGGACTTAAATCATCCAGACACTCGATAATTGCGCGTAAGATTTATAGGTGACGTTTATTTTTATTAATGTAATTCATGAAATTTATCGATTTATTTTTTGCGAAATCCATTAACTATTTATCACGATCTTTAAATATGCCAAATGATTTATTTTTGTCTTTTAATTAAAATTATCTGTTTCAATCTCAGATTTACAAAAATTAAACTGAAGGATTAGACAATATTTCCGCTATTTATAACGAAAAAAAAAAAAAGAAACAATTTTTATAGTTACACTTTATTTTCCAAGGCTCAGCAATTATACTGCTGACAATTGTTTGCATAAGATACATTTATTATTAGCACAAATAGTTTTCAATAATTAGTTCACGGTGATCGATTATTGTAACAATTAACATGATAAATTAACTTTAGCTTAGTTCTAAGAACAATAATTATTATTATAATTCCCCATGAAAAAAAAATATAAATAATATATATTTCGAAATATATAAAAAATATATATAATAAATATATTTATAATAACTAACTTTTGGCCGATTTTCATATATATTTTATATATTCTAAATATATTTTAGATATATTATAAATATATTTTTTTCATATTTTTAGCTATGTATTTATTATGTATTTTAAAATATATCTTGAATATATTATCTAAAATATATTTAAAATATATATGAAAATCGGCCAAAAGTTAGTTATTAAAAATATATTTATTATACATATTTTTTATATATTAATATATTTTCTATAGATTTTTAATATATTTAAAATATATTTTTTATATATTTCGATATATATTTTTTTTTCATGGGGGATTTATTATTCCTTTGTTTTCTTAGACCTGTAGTTAATACTGCAAAAAAAGAAAAAAATAAACTTGAAGCTGCAAGGAATGAAAGATTTAAAATTAATCAGAAGAGAAAGACGCTGGTGGTACTATATAATTAGCATCATATAAAGCATATGTCTTGTTTTCATAGTTGTTCCTGTTATGGGGATGTATTTTGTAAACATATGTGCCAAATATGTTGCCCGCTGGCTTCCAGTTACAAACAAGAGTAATTTTGTATAGCTTAACACCTATTTCATCCACTGCTCTAGCGCAACCAACTTCCGCGGTTTTGTGCCATAAAATTTGAGTGAAATTGCTAATTTTGTTGAACGTTTCCGGGTCTGGGTTAAACTTGGGTATCAATTTTCTGTCAAAGTCTTTCACTTCATCGTACCATTTGTTGACTAATTGTAATGGGTGCACCCACTTTTTAGACGATAATAGTGAAGTTTTAGTTTGGCCAATTATTCCCCCGCATGGAAAAATATATATGCGAAAAATATATGCAAATATATATTTTCACATATATTTTTTTTGCGCTAAATATATGTCCGCATATATGTTCACATATATGCGTAGATATATGTTCACATATATGCGTGCATATATGTTTACATATATGTGCGCATATAAGTGTCTAGAGATACACGGAAAAAAACTTAACTTGAATCGAGAAAGTTAAATTTTTCAAAATTTAACTTTCTTGATTTGAGTAAAAAAATTCTCAAACTTAGAATTTTTTTTTCAGTGTATGCTTACATATATGTCTACATATATGTAAGCATGTATCTCTGCATATATGTCAGCATCTATGTGAAAAATATATGTTGACATATTTTTTTTTTGCGTAAATATATGCGGCATATATATTATATATGCGACATATATTTTTGACATATATATTTCTCCATGCGGGCCTGTAAAAAAAATATCAAAAAATTTGGTAAGTAAAAATACACGTGATTCGTTTCTCTGAACTTTTATTGAGATAAAGTAATCTATCTGGTCTGGATGTCAAGCACGGATCAAGTCCTGATTTACACTGCGACGCCGAGCTGAGAGCCTGCCTGGCCAATTCATCATCCCATCTTAGTTTCGCGACCGCCGAAGCGATAGGTAATTCTCCTGACTTTGCATGTTTTTCCAATCCATTTTCGGCGACCCAAGATCTCAATCCAGCAATATGATCAAATAGCTCTTTTTTCTCCCGTTCAGTAAACTTACTATCAGGCACTGGTTTTTGACAGTTACGTGTTTTCAAAGCCTTTGTACACTCCTTGAGATTAAATTTTGCATCGTAAACTTGAGCAATAACCACCAAAGCGCTGGCCAAAACTAGCAGCCCAATCTTGATCATCGTGAATTTCAACTTTTTTTTCGGTCAAATATCAAAATTTTTCGATCTAGTATTCACTTGATCGAAGAGTTTTACTGAACTGTACTATAAAAAAATTTTTGGGTCTATTTATACTTAGATCGAAGGTTAAAAATGATTCAAATTGAGTTGTTTGTTCATTTAAAAATATTTATTTTGTTTATGTACATTATTTGGTTATAAATTTATGGGTTTTATTCAAATATATCTATAATTGATGCTCCTAACAAATGTTTTTCTATTATCTTGATCCAGGTTTGTGAACTATTTCTTCAGTAAAGTAAACACAAACAAAATGACTTTTGTTATTACCTGTCTTGATAAGCCGTGTTCTAGTTTCATCATGAAGACAAAGGAAATTGATAAATATCCATGAAATCTGTACTAAAAAATCCATATTCAGTGGCTTGTGCTAATAATTTATCTATTTTTGCAGGAATTATTCAGCCATAAGACTACATCAGAAATCCAGCCGTAAACATACTGAAGAAAACTGCAAAATCTGACATGAATTCCAGAAATATGTCTTCAATAGAAATTGGCGAACTGGTGAGTGCTAAACTTTTCAAATTTCTGCACAAAATTGGTTAGAATAACACCAAATTTTGCTACAAATTATCTTAAACTTTTCAATACTAATTTGAACAAGGAATTTGTCAAAAACCATAACATTTTTTGGACTATCTTATTAATGAATTGTCAAGATTTATTATCAACACACAAAACAACAAGTTAGAGAATAAATTAAAGGGTTTGATAAATAGGTTGACCGTCGACATTACCCGTCGGCCAATAGTTACACACTAAAGTACCATAGACAAGCTTATCAGTTTTATTGAAGTTCCGCATAATCCCACAACCGACTTCTTTAGTATTGCCCCAAACAAGCTGCGTGTAATGTCCTACTTTTTTGCGCGTCTGGTTGTCCATGTGGAAGTTTTTGACATACCTTGAGTCGAACTTTTCCACCTCATCGTACCACGATGAGATTAACATGTTGAAGCTCGGCCCGTAGGGACCGTCTCCACCTAGCTTAGCTATATTTTGGCCAACGCGTCCTTTCTCTGAAGAAAATAATAAATAAATTTCAATGATCAATTCAATCTTCTCCTTATAAAGTATTTTTGAAACTTACTAATATCTCTGCACTGATCATTATCAAATATGCACTGACGTGCCCATCGCAAAGCGATTTTGGCCAATTCATCGTTCCATGTAAGGTTGCCAATTATTCCAGCTGGCTGAGATACTTCGAACAATTCGCGAGTTTCTTTTCCACGAGCAACTTTCTGTCTGTATTCATTGTGTAAATTTAAAATTTGAATTTTTTCAGTGAAATTCAAGGAAAATTTTTGATTTTTTATCATTGAATTTTTACAAGTATTACGATTTGGCAATACACTCTGTAAATGATCAAAATTAATTATTAACATTCTTCAAAACAAATTAATCATTAAAAGATTTATCAATTTATATTCAAAGAAAAAGTTTGAATAATAATTACTTTATACAAACACATAGTATGATTCCTCCCACATGATTTGATGTCACAATATTCATTTGCAGAAACTATATAAGCAGATGCCACAACAAAGAGCCAAATTTTGATCATTGTGAACCTCACTTGATTTGTTAACTGATTAATGCAAACTTCGGGTAACAGTTATTACCGGAACTGTGATAGAAAAACTAATCAGGACTTACTTATATAATGGTTGAAGGTCTCAAATGTAACAAATCAAAGTATTTAGTGATTTACATTCCTTATTTTTATTGATTCAAATACTTGTATTTGTCTAACTATGTTGAGTATTGATGTCCATTCGTCAAAAAAGAGTTTTTACGCATATTCAAATAATTTATTACCATGTTTTCCATTTTTGATTTAGATTTAATAATTTATTTCTAACGTAAGCGAATAGTTATTATTAAAGATTTATAGTTAAAATTGTCATTTTTATCATCAAAAGACTAAATGGTAAATAATTTCTTAAATTTACACATATTGTGAATCAACAAACATGCTGTTATTACGTCAATTTATGCGCATTTAAATAATCAATGTCATAGATCACATTAATGCATAAATTGATAATAGCATCCATTGTTGAAATTTTATTATTGCGGACATAAATATAGAAATTAGCGAAAATATAACGAAATTTGTACATTTGAAAATTTCGATACGTGATACAAATTTTCACTTTTTTAAATAGTAAGTTCATACACATAAACCTTAATTTTAAGGGAAGAAATCCCTTCAGGTAGGTTAAAAATAAGATTTTTTATGAGTGATTTTGTAGAAGGCAAAATAATCAAATCTTTTCAAGTTTTATTATAATTTTATTTTGACATTGAAGAATACAAAAACAATTTTTTTATTCTACAAAATTAAAAGAAAATTCAATTTTCTGAAGGAATTTCTCCCTTCATTATTAAAACAGTGCCAATATTTGGAATATTATTATTTAATAATCGTACAATAATTTCAAACATTCTTAAAATCATCCATAAATATTTTGAATATTTGATTCTAAACATTTTGTCTACCAAAAAAATTAATAATCAAAGTAATTAAAATTTAATTGAAAATCAAGAGGGGGATAGTAAATCATTTCCTCAGCCGGTCCATAATTACAAATTAATGTAGTGGAGTTGTGATTAGTATAGTTGTAATTTATCTTGACGACACCACAACCTAATTCCCTAACTTCGCTCCAAACGAATGTTTTGTAACGATAAGCTTGAGTCTCCACCTCCCAACGATCCCACTCTTCCAATTTACGATAGTCCGAACTCTTCAAAACTCTGAGGTCACCGTACCACTGATTCACCAAATCTCTGATGCTTCCTTCTCCTTCAGCGATGTTTTGAGCAACATGTTCTATTTCTAAAAAGAGTTTTAAAAGTATATAATAACATTTTCGATCAAAAATTACATAATATCAAATTATGTTATCAAAAGTAGCATACTATCAGTTCTTCGGCATTTATCATGTTGATCTCTTCCCATGCACTGGTTAGTCCATGTCTGAGCTATTTCAGCTAATTCGTCGCTCCAGGTGAACTCTTTGTAATTTTCCGGAAAAGGAAGTTCACCATAACTCTCACTCATGGTGGCATGTTTATACCTAAGTTCGTTATGCAGGTTCAGGATTTCTTTTTTTTCTTCAGGTGTAAGGACATTAGTTATCATAAAAAATTTGCATCCAGGGTTCATCTTATCCTATGAATTAATATAGCATCAATGATAACAAGAAATTATTCTGTACAGCCAATTCAGCTATACAGCGAATAGTTAAAATGACGATTCGTATCATTATTTTAGGTGTTACATTTAGTTGACTTAACTATACAGATCCTTAAATTAACAAAATAGTTGTCTGTTTTGACGAAACTACATATCTTTACAAGAGCTATTCTCTGTATGCTTAAGTCAAACAAATGAATCCTTAAATCAGATAACGGGATTGTTATTTTAAGGAAACATCATTTGAGAATATGTTGGATAGTTATTTTAACAATATTTTTCTTTTCGTGTAGTTTTTATTTAGACCCAAGATACCTATACTTTTTAATGAATTTAAAAATTTCAAGAAAAAACTTGAACAAAAATTGGCAATATAATTTAACTTATATCTGTATATTATTAATAGGTTCGGGAATCAATTATCGTGTCACCTTATTAATGATATTACTTAAAATAATTTATTTAACTTAAAAACAAATTTTTTTTGTCTGTATGCCTTTCTTAGTCTGCTTTGTAGCTGAAAATTTAATTATTGAACTACTTATAAATTTGTAATTTTATCTCATTTTTAAACTACTAGAATTTAGTTTGTATATATTTTCATGGTTATGATACATTTGACCAACCACATCACGAATAAATTCATGCCACATACATTTCATCTCAATTTTATACTAAGATTAAAAGAATTGAGAGTAGAGAGTAGAGAAAAACTCATACACTATTTTGACTCATTGGTCACAATTAAACTTCCTTAAAATTCGTATAAAAATGGTGGAGAATTTTGAATAAGATACAGAATATTTTTGGTTGATTAAATTTTATTCAATGTAATTATACAATTTTTCGATCAGTAATTTTCATCTGATATTTTTCACAATTTATTACAATTTTAATGAAGTACAAATTTATGAAAATTTAGAGATTGCTTTTTTCAATAACGATGAGCTTTGTAAACTGGTTGGTCCAAGATGTTGCCGCCTGGTCCATAATTACAAATTAAAGTCGTTTTCTTTGCTTGGACTTCGGGAAAAGATTTATAATTTTTCAATATACCACATCCAATTTCAGTTGTTCTTCCCGAGACCAATTGAGTATAATGACCAATAATACGATTTGGCTGACTTCCTGCAAAGCGATCTACATGGTTTGCGTTGAAAAGTTGAACTTCGTCGTACCAGCCTTTTATAATTTCTTCTAATGTAAGTTCACCAGGATAAACATAACCTCCACCTATATTCTGGCCCACATAGTAAGCACCTAAAAAAAATTATTTTAAGTTACAAGATGTGTTGCATTACAAAAAATAATAACAGCTAAAGTATTTTACCATATCACTTTTGCATTCATCATGACCCTTTAAACACTGATTAGCCCATCTTTGAGCTATTTCAGCTAGCTGATCATTCCATTTAAGTGGTCCAATGTCACCCGCTGGCTGTGGTCCCGGACTACCACGTTTTTCCATTCCCTTAAGTCAATAATTAACAGCAAGCTAATTAGATTGAAGGTCTTTCAAATCACTAATCAAAGATATCTAATGATTTAGATCATATTTTTGTTGAAACAGCTATTTTGTTTCATTCATTTTCAAATAAATATTTGTGTAATATTAAATTGTCATTTTGACACGCATTAGTGTAACTACGTTGAATTGAAAAATATTTAAATAATTTTGTAAACTTGAAGTGACTAAACAAATATAAAACATGCATAGTAGAATTATATATGTTTACATTTCAATAATTCACATTGTAGATAACACAAATTGGCAATATATTTAATGTTCCGACAATGCAATTGATAATTTAATTTTACGCAATAAAAAAAAAAAAAATTTATTTATTTAGAACAATTTCAAAAATCTGAAGATTAAAGTATTATTTTTTTAAATTTCATAAAAATGTTTCTTTGAATCAAAACCTCAAAGTTCAAAGTTCTTTATATAAATACAAAATCTAATTCTTCACTTTGTTATAATTCCAAAAATATTACGCATAGTAAGTACCTTAGATTCGATCAATTTGTCATTTTCATAACCGAGAAGCGTCACGTGTAAACGGGGACAATGGCAGCTCTCCTCAAGCAGACAATAAAGAATCTCCGTTGCGTCTTTAAAAAATTGATTTTTTTTCTTATATAAATACTTTAACCAAATTTTTTTACAAGTACAATAATATAATCTGTATGATTTGGCTCTCACGTCACGTAGTACAATTCTTACCTCAAAATGGGCTCATAGTGGGCGGGTGACTACTAAGAATAATGAATGACCTATTGAAGTCAATAGCCAGTCCATTCATTCATTTTTCTCCGAGCACCTGACTCCTGAATTTTAGGTGTTTTTTTTTTCTTACCCTACTTTTTCTTCATTTCACCTCATTCAGCGTAGGCATACAGTATAATGGGTAAATCCGTGAGAAAAATTTCGATACACTTGACATTTTTTATAAATTTATTTCTGCTTCTACGAAATACAATAAATGAATTTTATTTGATATTTATGTTCATCTAAATCAAAACTTTTGGATAAAATACAATTTAAAAAACTTGAACAAATATTTTAATAGCAAACTAAAATAAAAAAATAATGAATAATAAATCCCTCATATAAATTTGCAGTAAAAAAACTTTTAAGAAAAGTTCTTCATTTGACATTTTAAAATTTGGAATATAACATCCAAAAAATTTATATAAAAGCAGTCAATATTTATTAAAATTTTTCTTACATAAACTAATGTAATTATTATACTAAATTTTCAGTAATATCTAAACAAAAATAATTTATTCCAACATCGGTAGCAAAAAAAACTATAAAAAGGCGCCGCTTAAAAAAAAATACCACAATAATACCTGCTGTTTTAAAATGTGGTGAAGAATCATTAGTAAGCATTCCAACTGCGAATATTTAATTCAAAGAGTCTGAAATACCCCCTGGTGCCTTTTGGAAAATAACAATAAATCAAAACCGACTTTATTATATAAAGAAAAACGCCGACATAAAAAGCGCCGGAAAATCACAGCAAAATCATGGAATTAAAGCTTCTGTTTTTTCTTTATTTCCGGCTTTACAAACAATTCTGACCGACACTGGGTATCCTCAGCTGCAGGTCAATATTTTCATTCCGTGATTCTGTTTTTTTGATCTTCAAAAGATACGCGTTGGTGTTTTTAATAGACTCATCAATTTTCGGGCTCTTAGTTTTACTGCTTGCTACTTTATTCTCATCATTCTTCACCTCTGTTAATAACAAACGCACAGGTTTCTCCGTAAAATTGCCCAAGATTTTGTTCTTTGTGTTCGTATCTCTTTCCTTTTCTTTCTCTTTGTCTCTGTCTTTGACCGGCGCCAATTTTTGGGTCCGTAACACCAAGCGGCTTTTGTTTATAAGCGCCTCTATTTCTTTGTAAGGTTGCTTCGACTCTGCTATTTCTGAAGTTAACTTGAGAAAAAATTTTAAGCTCAAATTGCTGCACCATTTCAAAACACAGTAACTTGTATTTTTTCTAGTTTTGATTCTATAATTCTTGATCTCCAGACAAAGTATCCCCGGACAAAATATCAGAAATAATTAATTTTTTCAATAAAACAATTCAAAACAATAAATTTGAAGAAAATTATCAATTTTATTTAACACTTATTAATAACATTTCAACAAATATTCGTAGCACGAATATAAATACAACTGTGGGGGTCATATCTTCCACCACTCTTTTGTAATTTAATTTAATTTAATTATTATTTATAAGTATTAATATTATATTAATTCATTATCATTTATGAATATTAATATTATTTAGTTATTATTTATATTTATTAACATCGTTTAATTATTATTATTAGCATATAATTATTTAGTTAATAATTATTATTATTATTTATTAGTAATAGGTAATTAATATAGGAATTACTTAAGTTGTAGATTTTTCTATAACGGTATTAAAATTTTGTTTAAAAAGTTTCAGTTGTGTCTCATCACCATAAATTATACTAGATTATAATTTACTTGGTGATGCCAAACAACTGATAAGTCTCGTCTGCAGCAAAAGCATTTTCTTTGGGAAATTTTAGTTTATTGTAATTTTGGTGCAATATAATAAAATTCACATTTGCAGCTGGCGAGACCCTAATAAAATATATTGTTATAAGATTAAAAATAGGTATAAGTTTGTTGTAAGAAGCTTAAGGGTTTTTCCCAAATATTTCCATAAAATATTCTCAGTAACAGACCTTTTTCTAAGGAGCAATTAAGGGATTAAAAACTCTCGTCGCATGGCCAGCGACCGGACCCAAGACCTCACTAATTACTCTCTTTACCTATCTATACCTGTATGCCTATCTATCTCTTGTAGCTAAAATACTTCTACTTTTCTATAATTTGTATATACCTAGAGAGTCTATCCTGTACATATATCTACGTATATCACTTCTATAATTTGTATATACCTAGAGCATCTATCCTGTACATGTACCTACGTATATCAATTTTTCATACTTACATACAAATAAGTACTCCTATCCTATACATTTTCTCAATACTTCCTTCGAGTACCCCCACCTCCTGAGAGGTCAGAGGCCGAGATGGACACTTTGAGAAAATCAGTTAGTCCTGGAAACCCATCAGCTTCACCTCGTATTTTTAAGTTACACGCGTGTATTAATAGTTAGATTTATTTAAATAAAATTTATTAAACTTAAATATTTCTATTCGCTCACTCGCTAGCCCTTACTTCCCAAACAACAAAATAAAATCAGTTGAACAATAACAACGAACACCATAAAATTAATTATCAATAATACTAAAAATTATAATATTTTTAAATATTACAACTGTAAAAATATAAAATAAAATTGGATTCAATTAATTATATAATGTAATATAAATAGTCAAGCAAATATATATCTTAAGTATTAAAAAAAACGATTTTTGCAACATTTTTCAAGAAACTAATCTAAAAATAAAAGAAGGAGATAAGATTTTGTGCGATATTTAGTCTCGGGGATATTTTGTCGCGGGATGAAGAATGCTGATACCCAAATTAGTTCATCAAAAAAAACTTACTTGAATTTCTTTTTTCCCTCCATTCAAATTTTCACAAAAACACACCGTCTCAATTCGTGAATTTTCGCTTGTCAATTTTTCCTTCATATTCAAAAATTTATCTCCAAAATTCTCTGGATCAAATTCCGCCTGAAAGATCATTTTGTAATTTTTTCAAAATTTTTCACGTCTAAAAAAAACAAACTTGAAGTTAGCCTCAAAAAACTGCGACAAAATTCAGTTCAATAAAAACTTTCGGCTCAAAATTTCTTCCAATGGACAAATCTGGTAAGAGCTTAACCTAAACTTCAAATTTTTCTCTCATTAGCCATAAATCATAACCAAACCCAATTTCCATAACTTAGTTTGTGGATGTGATCAACCAAAACTAGTACCTTCTCAATATTACCAAGAAGTCGGTGCAGAATTGTTAGGGAATAAAATCCGGGTCAGAATCGAGCGGGACAAGAATAAATTGTCCAAATTAAAAAAATTGAAGGAAAAATCCAAAGAATGGGACCCGCCGTGTTTTTGCTCAGAAGGGAATAACCTCAACAAACCTCCCAAAGAACCTCGTGTCCAAGGGCCCAAAATTATAAGCGTTGGAGATAGCGAAATAATATTCCGCTTGAATTCGCGCTGCCGTTTGTCTTGCGAAGATCAAAATTATTCTTCTCAGTTGGTTTCTTCTGGTGATAATTTTAAATTGGCCACTTCAAAGCCTAAAAATCAGGAAGATAAAATTCAAGTGTTCTCACGAGTGGAGCACCTTGATAAGTATGACGTTTATCAAGACCACGCGACAATTGGGAACAAAAATTTATTTTTGATGAAAATTAACAAGAAACATGTTAGTAGTAAAAATTTGAAGGATTTGAAAAGTAAAAATATTGAATTAGAGGTTAGTTACCCCAAAATTAAAATTTTTACTGCTCCACCTCCTTCTCTGTCACCCCCTGCGGCCATTTCGCCAGCTGCTGTCCCTCCAGCGCCACCTAAAGTTGAATTACCTGAAGTAAAAGTGATAAAACCAGAAAAAAAAGTTAAAAAATTGAGAACTAAAAAGAAGAAATGAATAAAAATTTATGAATGAAAATTTTAGTAGTAATTTATGAGAAGTTTTTACTAAAAAAAAATATTTTAATAATTTCATTGAGAGAATTATTTTTTTCTTCAATAATAGAGTCTTAGAAAAATTGCGGTTTTGTGGAAAGTAAAATAAACGATAAAGAAAAAAGGAAGTATTGTTGGTTCATAAAATATTATTTATTAGTTTTTGTAGAATGAATACCGTGGGAGTTCATGAAATCTCAGTGTGAGGTCGCGCACAAATTTGAAATATATCCATTTATATTATGCAGTTAATATTATTATGTATTATAGAGTGTAGAGGAGTCAATATAATATAATAACAGTAATAACTTTAGAAAATTGGGAAGAATATAATCGTCTGATCTATAAATTAAACGCAGACACGCTTCCGATACGCGATAAATACCCTGACATGTATGATGTAACAGTAGGAGGCAGGTATTTTACTTTATAAGTTTTTTTTTCGTTCTTGAGTGATGAAGATTAGGAGAGAAGAAAGCAGTTGGTGAATGAATGGAGAGAAGGAAGAATTACAAGTAGTTTTTTGGAGGTTTAATTGCCTCTTAACTTTATAAAGATTACCCTACAAAATCGTTTGATTTAAATTTGAATTTAATCAGTACCTAATTATTATACTAAAAAAAATTTTTTTTGATTTTTCAGAATATGTTGAAGGGAAAATTTTTTTTGTCTTCCAAAAAATGGAAAAACTTATTTATATGTTGAATACGATATAATATATAAAAATAAATTGTTTTGTAATGTATTGCTCAATATTTATATATTTTATATATTTATATATATGAATATATGAAAAATATATGAAAAATTGATGTGGGTACTCAAATGAAAGCTCTTGATGAGTGTAACATCAGGATAAGCTTATATCTTTAAAAAGGACAATATTTAACAAAGTACAGTGCAATTTAATAAATATCTTGTAAAATATTAATAATTTTAAAAATATAAGCTCACCTTGACATTACACTCATCGAGACTTTTCATTTGAGTACCCACATCAATTTTTCATATATTTTTATATATTATATATATGTATATATGAAAAATTGATATGGGTACTCAAATGAAAGCTCTTGATGAGTGTAACATCGGGATGAGCTTATATCGTTAAAAACGTCAATATTTATAAAAGTACAGTGCAATTTAACAAAAGTCATTATCTAATAAAACAAAATTTTATTTATTTATAGTTCACAAGTCACAGCAGTCACATAGTGACTGCAAAATTACTAGTACTAAGTAATTTCCTATCAAATCTCTACAAAAAATTACTTTTTTATCAATTTATTAATTTAATAAATTAGCTATTTATTGCTTATCAGAACATTTCTTTACGAATAATCGTCTAACGAAGATACAAATGATCGATAATAATTCTCGAAAGATACTTTTAAGAAAAACTCAAATTAACCACCACTAATTTGAGTGAGTATTAATAAATACCTAAGTAATATACAGACCTGAAATATCAAAAAATATTTACACCGACCATCAGGTACCTAATTAACCATAAAACTCCAGTAGAAAAACTCAATTAACACACAAAGCTATGACTAATTGACTAATTATTTCTCAACTAAGTCCAAATTTATTTCCAAAGCTCCTTAAAGTTTTCACACCAACTCCGGAAGTTTCCAAGAAAAATTTACAATCTATCAATCTTTACGTAGAATAAAAAAAATTCATAAAGACTATCGAATATCCATTAAATTTGGTTATTTTTATTTGTCCAATTCTTCACCCCTGACATGACTAATTTGCCGAATTTGCCAGCGGAAATGTAGGTTAGATCCGACGACAGGTACCCCTTGGTGCTTCGAACCATCAAACAGTTTGGTTCTGCATATAACTTTCTTCTCCTCATCCGGCCGATCCATATACACATAATAAATAAATATATATTATATATTATATTATATTATATTAGGAGATATAACATAATAGCACCGTAACTGAAACGGAGAAAGCCGGAGCCCTTCACACCAGGGTGTCCAAATCGAGCTGAGGACGGAATCGAAACTCCAGTAGATAAATTCAACACAATGGCTTTTATCGCTACAATAAAAATTATAATGATAATAATCATAACCAAACTGCAGTAACTCGAGGGTCTGAATTCATATTTATTTATATATAAATTTTTTTCATCATTTTACATCTGTGATGCAACAAAATCACACATTTTATTTTACTCTTACTTGCGGTTGCGTATACATTGTCACTTTGTCCCATTCAGCATATTATGAATATGCTTTTTCGACCTCCTATTGCGCACGACCTTTCGCCACTAATTTATAATCCGTAGGATAGTTTTTGACGTTTTAATTAATTATCGACTTCCTGAATTTGACAGTTTATTTCGGTGGAAAAAATTTTTGTGGTAATAAAAAATTTATTTTTGGAAAATTATTAGAGGAAGAAACTTTTTATTAGTTACGCCTGAATATTTTTTTTTCAGGTCTTAAAAAAATTGAGAAATGTTTTATAGCGAAGAGAAATAATAGTCTTTAATCAAGATTTAAAAATTGAATGAAAATTTGTTTAAAATTTATTTATAACTTAGTAATTTTAATATAAATATAAAATATTTTTCACCAAAATTATACATCAAATATTTTATCCAAAAAATTTTTATCTTAATCAAAAATTCAATTTTTTGAAAATTTTCAATAGAAAACTCTAAAATTAAATAATCTGTTTTCGGGTTAGTAAAAATTTGGATTTTCACAACCCAAAAAGACCCCAACGTACCACTCCCAACAGTTTAACCCTAGACTGGTCAACGTAGGAGCGTGACGCCGCGCTCAATTGTATTTTTTTTATTACATCTTCAATATTTACTAAAATTATTCAAAAAAATTTGACTTTGTTCCTTTAATATTTTAAAATATATTAATAATTTTTGCAAACATCTTTAAAAACGTAAAATTGTTGAAAAAAAATTTTTGGCAATTCGCGGAGCTTTCCTCATCGCTTGACCAAATTCGTAAATATATAGTTTTTTGTCCGCGGCGTTGTCAAAAACACCTCTAGTCTCCGCCTGTCGTGTTTTTTGACCAGTCTAGAGTTAAAATCAGCGATATAACCATAGTATTTAAAACCGAGTTAAAACTTTTAATAAAAAGTTAAAAAATTTTGAATTTTTGTACCAACGAAAAATTCTTAAAAATCTAAAAAAAAAAATCCATTCGTTGATGACTGAATACTTTTATTGGAAAATATTCTTATTAGAAGCTACATACGATATATTTTATTTCAAAAAAATTTTGTGAATAAATAATTTAATTTTTTTAAGTAAAATTTCTCTTGATCTTAAAATTTTTTTCTGGATCCCAAAAAACTCGAATTTTTCTATAACATAAAAAAACCATAAAAAATTTTTTTCCTAATTTTGAAACTTCAAAAAAACTTACTAACTTATTTCAAAAAAACTCAATATATAAATGACTTTGTAAAATTAAAAATGATATTTTTCACTGAAACTAGACATGAAAAATGTCATTCAAAAGAAAAAACTAATAAACTAAATATAAAACGACAAGTATAATCATAACGATGGCGATAATGACCTCAACATTGAGAATACGGCCAACAATTCTCTCGAGATTTTAGCTAAAAGAGCTACTGTCGAACACCGACTACCGAAAGGAATGAATTTTTTTCCTGTATATAGTAGCACAGTGTATACATAGTATTTAAACTTTTGTATTGTGTATTTTGGGTCTCGGTTATTGAAACGACTAAAGATTCGGAAGGCCATTAACGTGCGAGTTCATTCACAAGTTCAAAGCCAAAGCGTTTAAAAGAAAGTGACACGATATAATACGGCGATATTATATTATATATATTAGATGTATGAGTAGAGAGGAGGAGTAGAGGCTGGGTAATATAGAGAGGAAGAGGACTGAACTCAACTTTTTATTTTATTTCATTGACATCGAGTACGAGGCGTAACGAAACAATTTTTCTACCTCAATGATCTCTTTTTCTCGTTATATTATGTATATATATTATCTTCACTCACTTTTTACTAGATGATGCTGCACAACATCTTGACACTGCCAAGCCTTTTTTGACTGCTCACTTTTTAAGTACTGAAGAAATTATTTGATTTATGTCATAAGGTTTATTTCATCCAAAATGAATTTTTTCATTTAAGGAGGTCCTTTCGCCGCCAATGTAAAATATAAAATATTAGAATATGAGTAAATTCAATTTTTTTCTAATAGTTAAGGTCCTTATTTATCTAATAGTGAGGTTTAAATTATACTTTACCGGACAAATTTTTTAAAAAATAAAATTTTTAAACGTTAGTATTTGTTCAGAGTCTTACGAGAAAGTCAGACGTTTGCAGTATTTCTCGAATTATACTATCAGTCATGGATTAGATGAAGTAAAAAAAAACTAAAAATTAAATTTTCGAAATATTCAGGTTTCTTTTTTTGCAATAAAATATATCAGTTACCGAGATATTTATTGAGAAATTAATATTTAAAAAATCACAAAAAATTCTCAAGTAAACTACGTTAAAATGGAGTCAAAACATTTGGCAAAGTTGCGTATCGCGCGAGCTTCAGACCATTCAATAAATTAAAACTAATTCATTTATTTACACTGACTGCAAAAACTTAAACGTATTTAAGGTTATAATGTGCAAATGAAAATGTAAACAACCAAAGTACAGCGTTGCCAAATCACGGACAAGTTACTAGCAGTTGATTTGAAAGAGTAAAATTAATTTTTGTAT